GTGTGTGTGTGTGTGTGTGTGTGTGTGTGTGTGTGTGTGTGTGTGTGTGAAGAGAGGTTGTGGCTTGCTCAAAAACCCCCGAGCTGGCTCTACTGATAAACTGAGCCCTGTCACTGCAGCTTCTCAAACATAAAAGCTGGGGGTTGGGGGGGGGGGGATTCATGGGAACCACCTGCTCCGCACAGTCCAGGGAGCCCAGAACCAGGCGCAGAGAGGCCTGCGGCAGGTTAATTAAAGTTAACTGAGTGAAAAAATAATTACAGAGACTGCAGAGGGGAGAAACCCAAGCCTGGAATTTAGACTCCTCAGCTCCTAAGCTTTTCTGAGAATCAAACTAGTCCTTGGGATTTTTTTTTTTTTCTGGGCACAGAAAGGGCAAGGAAGGACTTTACCAGCTTCCTTTCCTGCTTAAGGGTCTGCAGAGAGTGGAACAGAGAGATCACGGAGGTGGGGGGGAGGGTAGAGGAGTCGGTGTGCTGGGTCCTGTGGCCTTGGGTGGCGTCAGCTCCCTTTGGCTATACCCCGTGCTGGGGGTGGACAAGATCCTTGTAGAATCCGTAGGTAGAAATGAGGGGTTTCCTTTGGCTTAGTCCTGCCTGAGCTGTGTGCACAGTTTCCTGTCTAGCCAGGATGTAAGGCCGTACACAAGTGGACCTCCACCACACCTTCCCTATAACGCTGTATGGATGCTCTGGGGGGAAAAAGCCAAAATAAAACCTCCCTGTGCGCTCTCTGTAGCCAGACTTCTGGCTGCTTTATCAGGTTCTTTTTCCGGCCTCCCTGCATCACCCCTATCCCTTCCAAACCCCCAACACTAGGTAGGAGAGAAAGAAGGTTAGAGGGGAAAGCAGGTGTCAATATCACTCACTCCAGAGGTGTGGGGTTCCCTGGGGCAGGTTTGATCTTCTTCATCTGGATATCTCCAACCGGCAAACAGCAACGGCAGCCAGGGGAGCATCACGGGGAGCAGCAGCCCCCCCAGACCCTCTTGTGTTTACACCCACCCTCTGAAGAGTTCCCCCAGAATTTCAAACATACGCTATCCTTAGCTATCGGGTGGTGGGGTATGAGTTCCTGCAATGGTGTGGGTGTGGGCAGGATATTGGATCAGGGATCCACCTGTGTAGGCCTGCAGCAGGTGTCTTGGGGACTTCCTCTTCCTCTCACCTGGCCCACACAGGCCTGGTTGAGGCCTCACCACCTCCCAAAAGAACACCGACAGCTGGAGACAAGCTGTTCAGGACAGGAATCTGTGGGGGACATTTTGGATGTCTGTGAGGTCAGCCTGGTCTACAGAGTGAGTTCCAGGAAAGCCAAGGCTTCAGAGAGAAACCCTGTCTAAAAACACCACACTACCACCCCGTCCCCACCAAAAGCTGTAATATTTTATGTTTGAGTGTTTGGCTCTCATGTATGTCTGTGCATCATGTATGTACAGTTGCCTGTGGATGCCAGAAGACCAGGGGCTATGGCACCCTCTGCCATAGCCCCCGGAACAGATGGTTGTGGGAGTCTGGGAACTGAACCCAGGTCCTCTGGAAAGGCAGCCGCTGTTCTTTATCACCGAGCCATCTCTCCAGCCCTGGGGTGTTGCCTATCTTGATCCATAATCTGGCCCAGTTCAGAGTCATTTACTTGTGCTCAGAGTGGAGGGCATTGTTTTCTGTTCTTGTGGTAGAAATGAGGTGGAGGACAACTCCTGTGTATGCTCGGAGCCTGTGGAGGCCAGAAGGGCAAGCAGGGGTGGAGGGATGTGAGCAGCCTCAGGAGGGAGCACGGTGTTTGTTTACTGGTGTTTCCCCGATAGGCTCTCAGAGCTGGGCGGGGCAGGGAGGTGGTCACTGGGTACCACCTGTGACTGTCAAGGCTCTGAGCACCCATAGATGCTCCCCAACAACCAGAGATTGCATCTCTCTGTGGCTTCGTGGCAGGTGCAGACGGGAGACCCTTGCCTGGTGGGCGGAGGCACAGGTAGCAACAGGGCTCCTTTCTGCCTTTGTGGGCTTCAAGAGCTGAAAGCGGACAGGCGTGGGGGTGAATGTGTGTAACCTCAGGAGGCTGAGGTGGGAGGAGCATGCATTTGGGACCACTCTGGGCTACGTAATGGATCCCCGTCCAAAGGGAGGGAGAGAGGGAGGGAGAGAGGGATCCAGGTGGGTTGGGGAATCCAGGGGTCGCCTTAGTGTCTCTGCAGCGATAGTGGCCTTAGCCCACCTGGATGTCCTGCAGCTGAAACTCGCCTCTTCCCTTCTGTCTTGTAGACTCCAGCCTGATGGATGTCTGGTGTGGATAATGAGGGAAGAACGTGCCTTTCACACCCAAGAGGTGACCCCGGATCGTGCCCCGGATGACCCCACGACTCGGAACCATGCAGCTAGCCTGCATGTTCTCGTCCATCCTGCTGTTTGGAGCCGCGGGCCTCCTCCTGTTCATCAGCCTGCAGGACCCTGTGGAGCTCAGCCCCCAGCAGGTTCCAGGTGAGCCCCAAGGTAGCTGCCTACCATTGCCGGTCCGCACACACTCCTTCCTGGTGGCTATGGTATGCTGGGCCTGGGTGAACAGAGAAGGGGCCCCAACTTCCTCCTAGCAGTGTCTGTGTCAGCGTTGGGAGGCCTGTCAGAGGTCAGGCCACCAATTCTGAGGCTGTGGCTCTGGCTTCTGAAGCAGTTGAGTAGCCCCTGGTGTGGGCGACAGAGACTGCCCATCTGCTCAGCCAGTTTGCTGTCCTCAGACTCCCGGAAAGTTCTGCCAACTCCTGGGGCATCTTCCACACTGTTCAGAACACCAGAGAATAAACATGTTTCTATTTTTATTTATTTTTTAAATGTCACTGGGGATTGAACCCAGGGTTTTACTTGGATTCGTTTTATATTATTTTTATTTTGAGACAAGGTCTGGCCTTGAATCTGTGACCCTGGCTTGTCCTCTTGAGTGGCTGCCCTTAGGGGCCTGAACCTCCAGGCCCAGATAAACATGTCTTCTTTTGAAAATATTGTTATATCTGGGTGTGGTGGCATATTCCTTTAATTCCAGCCCTTGAGAGGCAGGAGCTAGGTGAATCTCTGTGAGTTTGAGGCCAGCGTGGTCTACATAGCAAGTTCCAGGCCAGCCAGGACTACATAGTGCAAAAAACTAATTTTGTTGCATTAACAAACTGGGTTGTTTGTTTACTGGATGATGGGTGTGCAGGTAGAGGTCTCTGGATAATAGGTAGGAGTGGATTCTCTCCTTCTATCATGTGGTTGCTGGGAATGGAACTTGGGCTTTGGGGCAAGCACCTATTCTGCTGAGCCATCCATCTTCCCATCCCTTATCATCTTCAGGAACTCACATATCTGTAGTGTAGCTCAGTTTCCCTGTCTAGGCCTGGGGACTCCTTGAATGTGGTTCCTTTGGCCTGGGACAGAAATTCAGTCACATGCTGGCTTTGCGAGGCTGAGACCAGCTCCTCCCACACCCCATTCTCTCTGTACCTTGGAACCCACTGGAATGGTCGGTGTCTGCTGGGAATGGAGCACAGAGAGTGAGAGAGGAATGTGCGGGGCACTTCGGGCGGATGGGATATGAAAAGAGGAAGTCTCCAGGGCTCCTCACGCTCGGTATGGTGGAGCCGGCAGTCGTAGGGGTAGTCAGGCCACGGCTGGGGATTAATCCGCTCTGAAGGAAGAGGAAACCTGGCCTTCCAGGCCACAGTACGAGCATCTTGAAGGTCCCTCTGAGATGTGCTTTCTCCCCAGGGATGCATGAACACATTGCTTGAAGGGGCAGGATGAAGGAGCTGTGGAGGCCAGAGGTTTAGGTCGATGGCTCCCTGTGACAACCCTGCCTGCATAGGAAGGATGGGTGCCTGCTCTCCAGCCAGGGGCTCTTCCCTAGGGCTACCCTCAGCTCCCCCCTCCCCCAGCTCGGATCCCCTTTCTTTGTACCACTTCATAGTTTTGCTTCTGCGGACTGGAGCCCTGAACCATGATCCAGAGCCCAGACTGAAGGCCACAGGCCTCAAGAGAGAAGGAAGAGATGCACACAGAGGCCAGAGCCTACCTGCCTGGCAGCAGTTGCTGCCGGTAGCCCTGATGAACATGCCTTTCATCACAGACAGAGAGTGAAAAGCAAGTTCAATTGCGGGCCCGGGAAACAGCGGGCAAGCCACTGTGCTGACGCATTCCTGGGTCAACCCCTGCAGCTGGAGGCTGTCAGAACACAGGTCTGGCTGTTCCCCAGCTTCCAAGGAAGCAAGTGTGCGTGACTGAGCTGGATCCTCCTGGGACTTTGTAGCCTCTCAAGAGCCCTAGAATAGCGAGCGACACTGAGTCATCACAGCTGGGTCCCACAGGACAGCGCCATCACAGCACTGCAAGCTGGTCCCGGTGACTGGGTAGTCTGTGCAAAAAGGAAGCAGAGGGCAGGGAGCTTGCAGGCTGCTTGGATGAATGGCCCCTCAGGTGCACGCCCTTTTGTGTGGTTGTGGTGCGCACACAGGCATCTGATGTCTGCACTGTGGGCGCCCAGCGAGAAGTTTATGTATCCATGGTGTTCTGGGACAGGTGGGCCCCTCTGTGGTCCCTTCCCAGGACACGTCATACAGTGCCCGGTGAGGTTCTGCTTTGTCGGTCCTAGGACACGCCCTGCCGTGCCAGCAGCCAGCTGGCAGAGCAGAGGCGCTGGATTCCTGGCCCTCATTCCAGCCAGCACATTGCTCTGAAACAGCTGGCCAAGCGCACAGATGTGTGGATTAGCAGCGGGTGGAAGTTCTGGGTGGCGTGGCGTGGCATAATGGAGAGCCTCAGACCAGCAGGGTGTGGAGGGTCACATGGCACCGGATTGAGCATCCGCTGGGGGGGGGCAGGGCCAGGTGAGGAGCGTGGGTGGGTCTGGGTCTTCACCATGGTGCTACGTACGTGATGGGCAACCCTGACGGTCTATGCAAATGACACCAAACACAGTCATAAAACTTTAAGTAATGCTTACGTTACTTTCCCTGAGCGAAGTGCTCCTGACACAAGCTGTTTGTGTTGATTTGTTACTATTCATTTATTCCTTCCCTGTACTTCTTGGAGCAGCCTAATTGTGATTCGGTACCAAGAAAGCAATATCAAAGTAATTTTCCACAACATTAGTTACAATTTTCTTCTGATCCTTCAAGTGAAACAACCCCATCCTGTTGGCTTCTCCGAGCATATAAACCTTGATTACATTTATCTGTTGGAAACCAGCGCTTACAAAGTGTATGTGCCCAGTGGCATGGTGGGTGGTCCCAAGCCTTCTCCCGGGGAGTTTCTGTCCGAAGAAGCTGTAGGCCAGAAGGCTGTCCGGTCAGGGACACCAGAGAGACTAGAACACGGGGAAAATTCTACACCACAGTATAAACTTTGCTGGGACTAAGGGTGTGAAGGTCTGTGGATCCCGTGGCATCGGGAAAGTAGGAGAGAGGTGGCTGGCAGCTCAGCACCCGGGAGCCAGCTTGAGAGAGGAAATGGAATTCTGCACTTGTGGCTCTTCCGGTCTGACATTGATTGGATCTCATCGGTGCAGTTACTACATGGTGAAAGCACCTTTTTCGGGTTGCTTTCTGTTGCTGTGATGAACACCATGGGAAACAAAAAGAAGCAAGGAAGGGTAGGAAGGTGTTTATTCCATCTTATGACTGCCAGGTCACCGTCCGTTTCTGAGGGAAGTTAAGCAGGACTTCGAGGAGGAAAGCTGTGTGCTGGCACTCTCCCTCTCTGGCTCGCTTTAGCTAGCTTTCTTGTATAGCCCAAAGGCACCAACCTAGGGACGGTACTGCCCACGGTGGGCTGGGCCTTCCTACATCAATTAGCATTTAAGAAAATGCCTTGCAGACAGCGGGCACAGGCTAATCTGACGGAGGCCATTCTTCAGTTAAGGTTCTCTCCTGCCAAGCGATAAGATGTAATTAACTATGACATATCCAAACCTCTTCTGGACCAGCCAGCCCCCCCTCATCCTGGCTAGAGCAGAGTCGTACACAACTACCAACTTTTGCAAAGTGGTGTCTCAGGGTTTGTATTACTATGAAGAGACACCGTGACTCAGGCAACTCTTATAAAGGAAAACATTTAATTGGGGCTGGCTTACAGTTGCAGAGTTTCAGTCCATTATTGTCATGCTGGGAAACATGGCAGCACAGAGGCAGACATGGTGCTGGAGACGTAGCCAAGAATTCTACATCTGGATCCACAGGAACCAGGAAGCGAACTGGCTTGAGCCTCTAGACCTCAAAGGCCACCCCCTAGTGACACCCTTCCTCCAACAAAGCCACCCTTCCCAATCGTGCCACTTCCTATGGGCCTCTGAGGGACATTTTTATTCAAACCACCACAGTGGGCCATTTTTTTTCTTTTTTAAAGAATGTTGTATTTTAAGTTAGCCCTTTTGAAATAGGACTAAGCTCCTGACAGAAACAACTGTCCATCATGGGTGGGGTAGGGAGAGATATTGTGGCCCACAGCTTGAGGCAAAGACCCCTCTCTCATGCTGGCAGACAGAAAGCTGAGAGCATGGACCAGAACCAGAGATGAATATTATTTCTGAAGTCCCATCCTCGGTGGCATTATGACCTCTAGCCAGGCCACACCTTCTGAAGCCCCCTTGGCCTTCAGATTGGGCCATAAGCTGGGAGCGCAGCATACAAAGATGAGCCAGTGAATGCCTAGATTCAGACCATAATAGATAGGTACCTGGTAGCTAACCTGAATTCTAAGATTAGATTTTCTTGTTTACCGGAGAATTCTACTTACCTAATTATGATTGTTTTTCAGTCTGCAAAATTACCAGTCGTAAGGCCAGAGCTTCCACCCCCAGCGTGCTCATTTCTACGTTGTTTTATTGTTGTTTCTCTTCGTTTGTGTGACTGCATTTTACCACGTAATTCAGGCTGGCCTCAGACTCACAATCCTCCTGCCTAGTGTCTGCTGTGCTTGCTGCAATTACCCAGCTAGGGGGAAAACAAAACAAAAACAAAACTTTTTTTTTTTTTTTTTTTTTTTCAGTGCTTGGGTTTGAACCCAGGGCCTCAAGCATGCTAAGCAAGTGCTTTCCCACTGAGTCACACAACCAGCCCAGAAGCTCACTGCTTGACCTTTGATACAAGACCCATCTTTTCTCCTAATAAAAGACCAGAGCTGAGGATAACAGGCTCAGCACAGTGGCTGTGAGGACTTCAGAAGGCAGAGTCTGCATTTACCTGGGCAGGAATCTTCAGTAGCTGCCTTTCTCTGAACTTGGTTTTATGTAGAATTAAGATTAGAATGATGGAAGAATGACTCCCCAGGTGCCTCCCCCCCAGCACCCCAACCTTACCAGGCTGGCCCGATCCCTCCCTCCAGTCAGATTTCTCCCTATGTCTGAGTTTTGAAGTCCACACCAGATATTGAACCAGTTCACACATAAATATTTCAATGTTTCTCAGTTCAAATGATAAGAATCCTTATTTTTAGCATTACCTCCAACCATCTTA